TGGATGAAGCAATTTGGTGACCGCCCTGGTAATGTTGGTCGGATTTTCCTCGACGATATAAATCAGAAGGTAACTGGTGTGAATAATTTGGGTTGAATTGAAAAGATGAAAACTTAACTCTATGTTTAGCGTGTTTTGAACATACAGAAAGTGGCGACTTGCATCACCCTGCAGACGAATCATATGAGGACTCTGTTCGAGCAGTTTCCTGAAGTTCTTTTGATTGACGCCACCCACGGAACGAATCGGTCTAAGTACAAGGTCTTTTCGTTTATGGCTCATGACACGTTTGGTAAGGGGCAGTTCGTCCAGCACGCTTTGCTTCAAAACGAGCGGTACACTACATTACTGACGGCGCTGGAGGAATTCAAAATTAATAATCCAGCGTGGAAAAGGCTGCAGTGTGCTCTTGTGGATAAGGATTTCACGGAGATCTCAGTATTGAAAGAAGCTTTTTCTGGAGTGACTATTTTGCTCTGCCAATTTCACGTACTGAAATACCTACGTGAAGAAATTGCCTCGACTGACTATGGATTTTCGAAGACCCAGAAGGAGAAACTTGGAGGTGCGATGAGTTTACTGGTGTACGCAAAGACTGAAGCAGAATACGAGAAGCATTTGCGGTACATGGTCCACCTCGCGTCAATTGGCTATTACGTCCCAGCGTCTAATGTGCCGGAGCCAACTGGGAGTGAACCGAACTTAGACGGCCGTCAATCGGGGTCAGTCGGGGGTGAGTCTGGTGCAGTCGGGGGTGAGTCTGGTGCAGTCGGGGGTGAGTCTGGTGCAGTCGGGCATGCGAAATCGAGTACAGACCAAACGCCAACGAGAGAACCCGTTCGATGCGACGAAGAACATCCATTTGTGGCGTATTTCCGCCGGAATTGGGACAATTGCCGTGAGATGTGGTGTGCGTACAAGCGCCAAAATACGATTACACTCGGAAATAACACAAACAACAGGCTGGAAGCCTCATGGAAGCAATTAAAAGCGTGGGTGGATTCTTTCATGTCTGTCGATGAGTGTATTGCGTCTATGATGTACTATCAAACACTACAAGAAAAGTTGTTCATCGGCGAAGTGACGAAGAACGTGAACGTACAGCACCCAAATTACGATGGCGAAATGACCTGGCTGGCAAATATTGTGAGCGAACACGCCTGTGATCTTATTTACGGGCAGTATTCTTTTGCTCTCGGACGAGCGGCGTATACCTTCTCTGAGCGGCTGCCCGGTGTGTACTTGATAAAGAGTACGTGCAAGGATATCGATGCACTGGATGAGGTCGACACAGAATACTCCGTTACAAAGTGCGACTGGACGTGCTCTTGCCTGTTCATGTGCACGCGATTGCTGCCATGCCGCCACGTATTTTACCTCTGCAAAGCCTTGGGCCAAGAAACTGTTATTCCGACCCTCACGCTAAACAAGAGATGGCTGATATCTACCGTGCGGTCGGCAATTGAAAACAACGGTACCAGTAATCACGTCTCTACACCGAAGCCGTTCGAAGTGAAGAATGTTCTGCCTGCTCGAAATCGACCTTGGGATTCAAATCGCAAGTATAGAGAAGCCTTACCTATTGCATCCGAAATTTGCGACACTATGGCTGGACTGGGTATGGCACAGTATCAAGATGCCATGCAGTACCTTCAAGAAGTGGCAGGTCGTTTCAAGAGAGGTGAGTTCAAAGATCCTACCCGAGCCGTGGGCGAGCCCGATCCGGAGGAGCTTTTACCAGACACATCTGTACCAGCTACATGCGTTTCCAAGCCAGACGAAGAAGTCACAGCTTTCGCAACGGCAAGAGAGGAGGATAATCACATAGCAAACTTGTCAGAGCGGTCTGGTCAGTCGGGGCAGTCGGATGAGTCGGGTCAGTCGGGCCGGTCGGGCCATTGTGGAGAGCTTGGAGAGTCTTCACAAACGATTGAATCGAGCGGTATAGGCAATGAGAGTTCAGGTGGAGATTGTGGAGCTTTACTAATTAACGATGAAATTCCATTAAACGCGCCTCTAGAGGCAGCTGCAGAGGACACGCCGTTTGAAATCGCAAGTCCTCCGAGGTCACGAGGAAGGCCAAAGTGAACCCCCAAAGCCAAGAAAGCAGCCCGCAAAAAAGCTGTTGATATGGCGAAAGAAGACTCGGAACTTTACGCGGCAAATTTAAGCCTTGCCACAGTTGAAGTGTGTTATCTATCGACGCTACATACGAATCCGCGGCTGCTGTTCTCACAAAGCTCAAGATGGTTGACACAAGCTTCAAGTTTAAGGCGCCTACAGCTCGAACCGTATCCAGCCTACCACCAACGAAGCTGGTTATACAATCGGACTCTATAACGAGAATTTTACGTCCCGAACAAATTCGAACATGCAGTGGAAAAGTCGCAAAACTGCAAGCAAAATACAAAGGACTACGCGAACAGGGTGTGGTGCTGGATATTGCTGGGATTGGTTTGTATTCAACACGAACGGTGGGTATCATGAAGAAATGGCACACAGCTACAAAATCCATTAAACTTATCGAGAGAGGTCTGAGTTGGGCGGAGAGTATTGATTTCGATGTCACCATGCCGCAGTCGTTTCAAGTCACAGAGCAGTCCATTCTTCCAGCAAAACTGAAGGCTATCCCCCTGCTGTCATCAAAGGTATGTATTTTGTCGTTGTACAAAATCGTTTCAGCTCATGCTAACTTTCCTTAATGTGAGTTAAGGCGGAAATACTGGACCTCATTGGGAAAACTCAACTAAGTGACGATACTATTAGCTTTGTTATGTCCTCGCTCTTCGAGTCCAAAGCCAGTATTATAACTGTGGATACAAATGTTATCGGTCCAATGGAACATGGTGCTGTCTCAGTCCCGATGACGGTATGTTCAAGAACTTGTCGACGGAGAAAATTCTGATCCCTGTATGCTGCAACAAGAACCATTGGTGTGGTATTATGGTGGATGTGGAGCGCACAGAGGCAATCGTGTACGACCCAATGGCTTCTACATACATGATTGGAGTCCGAGCGCTTACTGAGAAGATAGTGACCCAGCTGCCAAATTTCGCCCCACGAAAGTATCGTGTCTCTCCCTATCGTGGAAATCTAGGCGTTCAGGTCGACAGTTTTAACTGCGGGATGTATGTCTTGCTGGCGTTTGAAGTGTTTGCTGAGGCCGACGGACTTAGCTACCTGAACAGAAAGGAACTACAGTATTTGCGCTATCGATACCTCTGCATGTGCGCGTAAGCCTAACAAGTTAGCAATCGTTTTACTTTAGAAAAACGTTTTTGAGTGCTAAGTTGGATCCGCTGTGAACGGAGTACATTGAATGCTTTGCCCTCTTCGTCAGATTCAGAGTCTTAATATCCGTGTATACGCGCTGGACACGTATACTTGGAGTGCGTTTCCTGTGATTGCACAACTGAACCTTTATCTAGTCGGGGTCAGTCGGGCATCCGTCGGGTTGGGTCGGGCAATGTAGCCTGACTCTTTCACACCCAGTCGGGCTAGATAACGAGTGCCATTTTAAAAATACCAAACGCGAGAGAACAGACAAAAAACAATAGTCGTACTAACTAGAGTGAGCTGTGTACGTGTTTTCGGTAGCAGTAACACGTGCCCAACACGGATATTAAGCTTAGCAAGCATAAATTTGTAGCCTGCGATAATCGAAGCTCGCTTAGAATAAAACTGGTATTTACAGCAAGGAAGCTTTCGCGGAGATCTGCCTGCAGTGTTGGACAGGGTCACCCTACCGCTGCAGCGAACGGAGCAAACATAGCTGTTGCGGCTCACAAAAATGTCCCCATTGGGAGCCTAGCAATTTGCACATTTACAGCTCTGAATAAAATCCTTTAAGAGTAAATTACAGCTCTGAATAAAATCCATTTATTTAAGGCGACGCCTGTCAGCAGTCGTCTCATGACCTACGTCGCATGGTGAGGAGGATTGGCTTTGTGTGCATTGCTTCACGCATTCACCGCATGAAATTCACGGTGAATCACGCGGCAGTAAGTACTAATAGCAAGCGACCCTCGCTGTGGCAATGCCAGATACAGTAGTGTCTGGGGGTAAGTCGAAGCTACCTACCTGGCCTAGCGTGGCACTCACTTCGTTCCAAGATTCTTGGACATGTACTAGATTTCTTGCTGAGCTTGGCCACCAGAAAAAGAAGAGCAAACGTTACACAGTACTCGGAGACGGGCTGTATCGGCGAAATTCTGTTTATCGCGATCTTTTGACAAGTTTATTTGGTACTTCAACCGACAATTATTTGAAGAGACAATTATCGCGTGTATCTGCAGGTAAAAGCGAATGTCTTGAAGCTCGCAGAGCGAGTCGCACAGCCGCTGCAAGCGTACGGTACACATCCGGCAAGCAAACTCACCGTATTAATAAGTCGCAAGTGCAATATACGGCCGATTGACGCTCGCAATTCAGAGAAACGCCCCGCAGCAATAGCATCGCCCACTGACAGCAAGTACACAGCCACCCGCGAGTATAAGCCATGGGGTCGCTTGGTGGAATGTATTCTACCCTTGCGTGCGTTTGGCCCCAACGAAGTGAAGTGAATTTGTTTCGAGGTGCCTCTGCCAAAGTGATGGCTCTCAAAAACGACGGTTTCGTGCCGTTTCGGGCACCGCAACGGCACTCTGTCTAATCCAAATGTTGATGTAGGGTATATAAATTATAGCAGGTCTGTTTAACTAACCAAGAATCAAACGCAACACATTTTTCCCGTAGCGTGCTATCGCGGGGTATCCTTTGCGAAAGGTATGGGCTGTCCGGTCTACACCCGCGGTCTAGATCGCAAAAAATAGCCACGTGATCCCTGTCTGCGACCGTCGTGCGCTCGCCTGCTTTTCCCAGGCTCGGCGTTCCCGACGCCAGCCCCTTTCATTATCCTTTCCTCGTACTTGTTGCGCTGCACCAGCTATTGCCGCCTATCGAGCTCTCAAGTGGCTACCTACCCACTCCGCAATAACACACTTCCAGTTAAAACAGATACAATGAGTCTCAAGAGACCGCAGCATTCCATGGACGAAACCAGCAGTACGTCTTCGTCTTCTTCCTCGCCTGTACGCGCTTCTACAAGTAGAACCACGAGCAAGAGTCGACGTAGCCGCCGTACACTGCACAAATCCGACTCGTGTTCGTCTACATCTTCGTCTGAGGCTTCGCTTCCGCTAGCCTCTGCACCACGCACCGTTGAGATCATGTGGGGCGGGCGCACTACACCGGGCTTCACACTTAAGCGCAAGCGCACAGGCGCTATCCTCGTTAGCACCGTGACGCGCGAGACGCAAGTTGCTACGACACTCAAGGTCGGCAGCGAGTTAAGACTCGTAGGTGGCTTCCCGGTTAACCGTCTCACACTACAGGACGTTAAGAAGGTCATGCTTTTGGCCCCCAAGCCTGTGAGTCTCGTGTTCGTGAACGCGGACGACGTGGTCATCGGTAATGTCGACACTGGTATTGACATCGCAGAGCTGACGGCCGAGAGGAAGCTCTCGTCTGCTTCATCAAGTGCCGACCAGTCGCTGGCGTCCACAACGCTGTCCAGTGCCAGCTTACGACGTAGCGTGAGTATGGACATAAACAACCTCAAAGAGGAACACGCCGCTGAAAGCGACAGCGACAACTCGACCAACTCAGCGCCAGCATTCTACAGCACACCGTCGGAAAGCAACAAGTCTAAGAAGCGCAAAGTCTCCAAGCTTCAAGTGGCTTTGGATCGAGTCAACCAGCTGTTGAACCGTCCGGTGCGCCAAGCAGGCCTGCACATCGCCGCTGGCAAGAGCATCGTCGTGTAGATCTCTCTATTCACCTATTCGTCCTTCTTCTTCAACCATGGCCCCATCATGTTCTTCAATCAACTTCTTCAACATCTTCAGACGGAGAAAGATGAAGCGAAAAGAGCAGCGCGCGAGTCATTTGGAAGCTCCGCAAAATCTGCTTTACTCAATTTACGCAGAAAATGCCCGATGTATTTATAAAAAGAAAAACATGACAGAAATTGTGCCTAAATGTGCTCAGAATTAAAGAACCTTGTTTCTAAATTCTAAACAAGCTCAGAATCTGATCCTTCGAGGGAAATGAGCGTACGCGCCCGCAGGAATGCGTAGCATGTGCTTGAAGTCGTCCTTGTCAATGCAGCCTCTGCCCGACCGATCAGTGTACTGGAAGCAGCGGTCCAGGTCGTTCCGGAACGAGTGTAAGTGTTTCCCGCTTTCCTGGAACGGAGTCAGCTCGGCCACGTCTTCTAGCGTCAACAGACCGTCTCTGTCCTCGTCTACCATATCAAAAACCTGGTTCGCGCACTCCACAAACTCATCAGCTTGTTGGCTTTGAAGCTGTGGCCAGTCCAGCAGCGCAGCGCAGAACTCGTCACGAGATAGTAACCCATTGCCGTCCAGGTCGAGATTGCGCAAGAAGCCCTTCGCTTCGCCTCTGGTAAGGCGATAGCCACCTGCAGCTACATACGCAGCGAACTCCTCGAGTCCCACTCGCTCACTGCCGTCACGAGATACTTCACTGAACAGTACCAGCGCATCTTGCTTTAACGCAAGCGGTAGAAGTCGAGTAACCTCGTTAAGAACAGCACGTTGCAGACTGTTAAGTGAACGGTACAGTTGTAGCCTTTGTACCAGTGTACCGTTTAGTGCCGGTCCGGAAATACCCTTGGTGGCCTCTTTAGCAGCAGCCGAAGCCGTCGTTAAAGCTTCAGCCGACAAAGGAGCACTCGGAGCAAGCCACGGATGCTTGAGTGCTTGCTCCGCAGTCAAGCGTTTAGTCACATCACGCTCTAATAGCTGACTCACTAATTCCTTGGCCTCATCTGAGATGCCAGTCCACGGAGGGCTCTCTAAATCAATCTCTTCATGCTGAATACGTTCATCCAGCAGCGGTCCGGACTCAAACGGGAAGCGTCCACTTAACAGACGATACAAAATCACCCCACAACTCCAGAGATCTGACGGAAAAGCGTACTTGTGCTTAAGTACTTCAGGTGCCGTGTACAGTGGAGTTCCGTGGACATCGTGTAAGAACTGGCCTTCATCTAGGAAAGCTGCTCCGCCGAAGTCGGTTAATTTGAGTGGACTGTCGTCTTTAGTATCTGCAAACAAGAAGTTCTCGAGCTTGAGATCTCTGTGTAAAATACGCAGTAAATGACACTGCCATACAACATGCAAGATATCTCTCATGTACATCTTGGCTCGCTCTTCTTGCTTGGGGTTAGCCGTCAAATCCAACTCCTTCTCGCCTGATAACCTGGACGAAGCGTCTCCACCGACACAGCGTTCCATTACCAGATACACATTCGTGTCATCTTCATACGCTCCGAAGAAATGTACCACGTTAAGTGTTCCACCCAACAGCACCATCATGCGTCCTTCCTGTTTTAACGCCGCATAGTCCTTACGACTCACGACACGAGACTTAGGAACGATCTTAACTGCCAAGTCCAATTGTAATTCACACCCACGCGCCTCTTGCTTTATCGGCAGTACGCAGTACACTTGTCCAAATGCTCCTTCACCCAGCTTGTCTCCGAGCGTGTATTTCCCATGGAAATTTCGCGGTAGATTGAACTCCAGCTCCTCTGGCTTCGTGAAGAAGCTCGCTGCTTCGAGCGCCACATGCTGCAGCCAAGGGAACGGCGCTAGTTTGTCCAGGTATCCCCTCCAGCTTCTGCGAATACTACCATAGTGAAGACCCAGTGGCTTTCGAGACGCGGAGCTTTGGCGGCGGCTATTAACAAAAGTCGAGGCTCCAGGTGTCATAGCCGCATCTGCTTGTTGATGTGGCGAGTATTGATCCGGTATCGTCATAATGAAGCGGGCTCTATTAAGACGCGTTGAGCGACGCAAGGTAGAAGGGATCGCCTTCATGTTGTGTAAGTTCTAGAGCGCGGATCGAGGCGCAATAAGCATGTGGTGATGTATAGAAGAGAGGCCGAATGGACAGTACGCAGTAGATTGAAAGCCGACGCCTACACGGAGCAGGAGATAGCGCGTTCTAGTGCCTGCTATTCGTAGCGATCGTCGGAGTTGGCCGTTTACGGAGAATCTCCATGACCATGTCTCTGACAGTCGATTGTACCATATAACAGGTACCTTTTGTTAATGGCAACGTGGAGCTGACATCAACGAAATGTTGGATGGATAGACAGCACTTCAAAGTACCAGTACAGTATGTAGTAGAGATGGGAAGTTCTCCTTAAATTGAATGCGAGTTGATTACATCAGCGACGCGCTCCGTGGCGGACTCCTCTTTTCTCTTCTCTGCAGCTTGCGTCGACGTCTTGTCCTGTTGGATTCGTAGCACGCTGCCTGTCAGTAGTCGACTGGCTGGCGACAACAGAAACAAAATCGTATGCGACAGCGCAGCTGTGTCATCAACGACTACAGTGTCGACAGACGGCGGCAGCAACACGCAATTCACCTGGACATTGCGTGGCTGTAACTTGGCAGCTAGCGCTTTAATCAACGGCTCGACGGTAGAATCGTCCACAGCAGGCGCAATGTTTACGATGGTTCCAGTACTGGAGGTTAACCAGGTGTCCTCATTTACTGCGGGGTCTGGGAAGCAAGTCGACGACATCGACTCGCTTAGAGCTTCGATGAGGGCTCTGCATGGACACACACACGTCAGCTTGGCTGGTATAAACACCACATTTAGTAGGTGACTCGTACGTGCTGGTTGTGATTTTATCAGCGTCTCCGCTGGACTCCTTTCCTCCCGATGACAAACCGTCCATCACCTCAGATCCAGCATAAGTTAGCAGGAAGTCCACGCGCTGGTACTTGGTGGCAATGGAGCCACACCAGTCGGCGATGCTCTTTTGTGTCCGGAATGACCCCAGTACAGGCAGCATTACGCCACGGGGACTCTCCACGCCCTCGGAAGGGTCCGGAAAACGCCCGATGTGCTTTGTGTTGAAGTCATCCAACGCTGACATGGTACTGTACCATTTGGTACAATGTGAGTTGGTACACCTTCACAGCTGGTGAGTATTAAGCTTACCTAAAGGTAAGTAGCACGTTTGCTCCTAAGAGCCAAAGCTGGGTCGCTACGGACGCCATGGCCTTGTTATCACCGCCTGTAGCCACAACCTACCGTGAAACCACACATACACTTAGTAATATCGTTCTGGTTTGTCTAGTGTACACCTAAGGCGTACCAATTTGTTGAAAAATACAGTCTGCCAGTGTGCAGACATTGCAGCATCTTGGTAGAGTGCACTGGAAGACAAGCCGTCCACTCCAGCACGTATCAGTGTACCCCCAGCTGAATACGCCGACGCGGCCATGGCAGATACATCGTTCGCAGCTGCAGAAGATTCTTCGAGTTTCGCACGCTTCCGACTGCCATCTAGTTCCTCACGAAGTTCACGTACATTATTAATAATGTAGTCACCAAGTGCACGTTTCTGGAGCTCTGCGTTGTCGGGGGCAGCACCCGCAGCAACAGGGCTCGAGCGAGAGGTGGAATTAACAGTCAGTTGACTGTATAGCCCATTGTTGATCTCGGTACGTGCACTGCAGCGACCTTCACGCAGGTTCTGCAGGAAGATTTGCACGGCCAGATCTCCTTCGGCTTCGCGCTTGTGCTGGAGCAATCGCATGAACTCCGGGTGTTTACTCATCAAGTGGTTCTCGATACGTCCCCGACGACAATTGAGACGACTCCAGACCTTGGTCAGCTCGCGTTTGGATGCTGGGTCATCGCACAGCATGCAAACGATCGCGTCCTTCTCCTTGTCAGCGCCTGCAGCTGCGGCGGCTGTTACTGCAGCGGCAGCAGACGCACCGCCAGTCTTTCGCACCGCTTTGATTACTCGGCTGTCCATTTCGGACTCGGGTAGCGAGCGCTCGACGATCGGGAGCGAGTGCAGCCACCGCTTCTGAAAGGTGAAGACACGCTTACGAGATCCTGAGGCGCTGGACGTTTGTTGTTGGCTGGAAGCAGCGGTGGGCGTTGTCGAGACATCCACAGCTTCGGAAGTTATTTGCGGAGATAATTCACGCATGGAGGGGGCCGCGAAGGATGTCGTCGAGGTGGGGGAGCCCGCAGCGCCGACAGCCTTGTCCATCATGAGTGTCCTAGGCTTCTTTGTCTCGGACTGGTACAGTTTGAATGGCTCGCTGGTACTCGGTACCGAAGCCTAGGTACGATGAAGTTGAGATCAAGAGTGATGGTGCTGAAAGTTGCTGTGTCAAGGCAATATCTCACCGATTCTATATGTTCTCACAGGATATTCAATTAGACCCTGCATTTTTGTAAGATAAGATTCCTTCCTCCTCTAACAGAAAATGCATTTATGCAGGCCAAAATCACTGCAACAGGTTTACAGACTTCGAAGTTCCACTTCCTCCTCATTCCCCCCTCGACGTCTCGCGCTAGCAGCTCCTCACTGCCTTCCGACGCGTCGCTGCGTGTTCACCAGCACCTTGCAAACCTCCTCCACCATATACACGCATGACGGACGCGCTGAGCTCGCTGGCCGAAGCCTCCTCACTCGGCAGCTATCAGCAAGATGAACTGCAACAACCAGTACCAGAACCGACGCCAGTGTCTAAACCTAAGGCGAATTCGACCGTCACGATCCTCCCATCGCCCTCACCCAATTCTCCCGAGGTTACTAAAGTCTCCGTCTCTTCTTCATGCTCTGCGGAAGCCCCAGCAAGCCCTTCAATTTCCGATAAGGACGGATACACCACACCAAAGTCGAAGTTGGAGAAAGATGCCCACAGCCAGACCCAGGACATACCGTCGCTGCCTCTAAAACGCGCCACGGGTAAACGGAAAAGACTGGCCATCGATGATGAGCTAACGTCGTTCATTACTCCAGCGCCCACCAAGCGCAAAGCCAGTGGCGACTTCCTCCGTAAAGGTCAATGGACTAGCACGGAGGAGAGACTAGCCCGTCTCTTGATCGAGGCATTTGAAGAAGGCTACTTGCCGATCTATACAGGCATCCGACTGCGTGGCTACTTGGCCGTGCAGCTGCAATGTGACCCCATGCGGGTGTCCAAGAAGCTCTGTGCCGGTACCATTGACGGCAAGCCAGTACCCAAGAACTACGGCCAGAAGAAGTTTAAGCTTCGTAAGAAATCCAATTGGGACTCGGACGAGGCGGCTTGTCGCATAGCAGAGCTCCAGAGACTTACCAGAGCGCTGTGGACTGAGGCACGCATAAGGAAACCCTCATTCCTCACGCTGTCAACTACTCGCAATGTGGCTAAGAGACGAGGATCTGCTGAGGATGACGACTCCATGTCGTCACCTCCCAGTGGTCGATCTCCGTCATCAACGCCCAGAGCGAAGAAACAGAAAGTGTTTCCCATCATTTATTTAAACCTGTCCAAGCTTAAACGCTATTCGGGCAGAGGCGACAGTAGCGACAGCGAGCATGCATCTAAAGACTCCGACTCGGACAGTGAGCCTGTGAGGCTGGACGGAGAGTCCTTGCAAGCTGCATACGACCTGCTGACGCTGTGCAGTCCACGGGGAACGTCTATCAAAGGCAATTTTGAAACGTCTAAGAAAAATAAAGCTGATCCGGCTGAAGAGACCGCCGAGGACACTGTGGAGAATAGCGAAGACAAACCCAAAGTGGACGGAATCAAGGACGAGCCCAGTGAAACACAGGACAAATCCAGCGAGGGCAAATCCAGTCGGGAAATTTTCAACGAGGACACCCTTGTGCAGGATGAGGGAAAACCGGGTGCAGAAATGTCCAATGAGGGCAACGATGAAATCGCCATCAAGGGCGAGCTTGCCACTTCGCTGTCTGCGTAATTTGCGCCACCGTGCCAACCACACTACCACGGTGCCTACTAAATTGCTTTAAGGGGAGCTAGAACGTAAGTATTCTAGCATCTAACGTAGATCTGTAATAAATCGCGTATCATTTGATTTTTTCTTAGTGGAAGCAATTTCAAAAAGTAATTTTATTAAAAGTAAGAAAGTGAATTATTCCAATCCCGATGCTGCAATTCATCGATTCGCTAAATTTAGTTCCACCCAATAAAATTCAATGAACCCTGATTAGCTGAAGTGCCATACGAAACTGTCCCAAGGCATAATCCGATCCGCAGGACCAAGCGGTAATGGCTTCGGAAGACAAGAGCTCCTTGCGCCAGCGCAAGGGCAAGGCCATATCCGCGCTAGACACGCAGAACGCAGTCGACGGATCCATGGGCACTTCCCCATGCTCGCAGCGCTCGAGTCCGCGGCCCGAAAGCTGGTCGTACAACACTTTCCGCGCCACACACGGTAGTGAAGTGGAGGGCTTGTTGTTGTTCCCAGAACAGCCACGCCAGATCTTCGTGCTCGTACTCGTGGTAGCGGGCTTCTCGTACTACTCGCTCACTCACGACTCGCAAGATACGGTACAGAACGTACGCACCGCGTTGTTCGCCGCCATTTTGATCTTTCTGGTCTACTGTTTCTTACAAACAAGGGACGTACTCATGATGCGCCCCCATCCAGGCGTATGGCGAGTGGTCCATGGCTGCTCCGTCGTATATTTACTGCTACTGGCTGCTACGCTCGTACAGAACCGAGAGAGCGCCATGACCGGAATGCAGTACTTGTTCCCTGAAGTCGGCAGTCGACCCAAGACGACAACCCCAGCTCAGTTACATTGCGCAATTAACCCAGAGGTGCGTATTTAAAGTTGGGTTTTATAACATGATTTGGGTGATGAAGCTTACTATGTTGTGGGTTAAATTTAGTCGCTGACGCGCGGAGTCACGAGTATCTGGTTTATTGCGCATGTGACGGGCTGGTGGGGTAAGATGTGTATGTTCCGTGACTGGCGACTGTGCTGGGTGCTCAGTATCGCCTTCGAGATCTTGGAACTCGCACTGCAGTTCGTCATCCCGGACTTCCAGGAGTGTTGGTGGGACTCGCTTCTTCTCGACTTGCTGGGTGCCAACATGCTGGGCATGTGTCTGGGTCGCGTGACGCTGTGGCTGCTGCAGTCAAAGGAATACGACTGGTCCGGTCGTCGAGGCAAGAAGATGGGCTACTTCCGCTTGGCACTCAACCAGCTCACACCATTCAGCTGGGAGCAGTATCACTGGGAGGTCTTCTCCAGCTTCAAGCGGTTCGCCGAGATTTTTTTTGCAGTAGTAATATGTCTACTTACAGAGCTGAACGCCTTCTTCATGCTGACGACGCTGAGTATTCCGAAGGAGAGCAATTTCAACTCGTATCGCTTACTGCTCGTGTTTTTGCTTGGAATTCCCGCTGCTGCTGAGGTAAGAATTGCTGCAAGTATTTTTATTTTAACTGCTGATTTTTTTAATTTTTTCTTTACAGTATTATGAGTTCATTACCAACCCGGAATGTTGGCGTTTGGGTCAGAATTCGTGGATGATGTTGTCGATCGCTACGTTTGAGGTGCTGGTGTGGGTTAAATTCTCAGCAAATGGTGTGCTGTTCACGCAGCCCCCTCCACCTTTGGTGATGTACCCGATCGCGGCGTTCGTGGCCATGTTTTCAATCTGGATGCTGCTCTTCTTCCGCAGTGACCCGCAGCTCACCTCTCGACGTGCACGCGGACTTGTCACCGGCTGGGGGTATCTTGATGTGCTGTTCTGGGCTTCATTCACTCCGCTGATTTTCCTATCGTCACAATGGGCATTTTGAATGCCGACAAAAACTAGCAAACATTTTAGAGTGAAGTGCTTAATACTTCGAAGTAGTACTACAAGTAGATCATTTTGCACGTTTTAAGAAAAGGGTTAAAGAGACGAATGAAAGGTTAAACAAAAATGGGAACAATACGACGGAAATAACCTATTTTATGGAATACTTTTGAGTTTGCCAATAGTGGGCACTTCAGTTCAGATTTTTTGTAAGCGAGCTCATGCACATAGTTTCTCTCTTTGTGTAAATATTTATATATGGTGTCCTCCACTGTTCGATTCAGCTCCGTTGATTCAAAGCCGAAAAAACTCGCTTGCAACTCTGGCGTTGTCATGTTCAGCAGTAATATCAACGACAAGGCTCAGCATCAGGGTCTGCATACTCGATTCAGTGCAGTGCTTCAGCTGGCACTTGTAAAGTCACGGAGTCCGTGACTCTTCATGATGAAGTTAGGCAACAGCAGCCCACGACTTGAATAGGAGCTGAGCTGCCTTCTCTAGCTCCACATCAGACGACAGATTCCATCGCTCCTGTAACGTTTCGCTACCGTACTGCTGCTTCTAGTTTCGCACATAATCTGCTTGATATGGTTAACGGAGAGTGCAGCTAGCTTGAGACGAGTGAAATTGAAGATCGTATATTTATGATACACCTGGAGCGATAGCATAAGTCGTGAGTGGCCCATCATCACAAAGTAGACCTTAGGGAAAGTCATCCACGCTACCAATATTGTTTCCGCAAACTCGATCAACAGGTTTAAAGACGCCTTTTTCACTAGGATTTGACAAAAACGTCGGCCCACTTCGTTAAGTATGATGAATAGTACGAGTAAACTTTATCTTTCCTCATTTGCAGAAAATAAAGGACGTTTATCTTACGCTTAGCTTCTGTATGGACGTCTTACGAAAAAATCGCATGAATGGGATTGTGTGGCTCGTTAGAAAAAAATCTAGCTGAAAGGTTTTGATGAATGCCGTGAGCCGCAAATAGCTCAAGATAAAAATATTCACGTATAATAAATAGAGGGGCTAAACAACAATAAAAACTCGTTGCTTTCGAGAGAACGTTGGACGCCGACCATTACTTTCAGTAATAATTACAAGCGTCTTCGTATGAATCAACATGAAGACTTTTTAACACCACCGACGTATTTTTTTCGTTTCGACCTTGACATTACTAAGTGTGAGGGTACTGGTTCCATCGACGTTGCGCCTCAGTACGCAGTAAAGATGCTACACGTAAAATAACGTTTTGATTAGTGCTGGAAACCACGCTAGAGGAAAGTATATATGGGGCATTCAATGGAAACTAAAGCAGCCTCACTGTCGTGGTCGGCACGCGAGTGCAATACCACCTCCTGCTAAAAGGCTTGTTCCTCCTGGCTTGTGCAAAATCTGCTCCAAGAGCTTTGGTTTCCTGGGTACAAGTCGCATGTTCTGCGATATCTGCAAAGAGCAGATATGCTCACGTTGCCGTAACCAAGATAATTGCAATTTTCACACCAAATCAGGCCTCCGTGACGGAGAAGAAGCGCGTATTCTGTGTACAGTGCATTAACGACGTCACGAATACCGACGCTGTACGAATCGCACGCGAAGAAATCCTCAATATCCGTCAAGTTGAAGCAGTGCACCCAGGATTGTATGAGTTACTCGGGTTTTGTAAGTGTAATGTTGAAGGCTCGTTTTCCTAAAAAAAACTGCAAGTAAATTTGCATGTTTAAGTGAAAGAATAAAATGGCAGCGATGACGGCTTGAAAATGTCAATCGGGTGAGCTTCTTGGCTTTCAGCGAAGTCCACGAAATGCATCATGTCGTTCATACTCTGGTGGAATTCTCGGATGGGCTCCACTAGCTCTGTTTCGCTTGTGAATGGCTCTGACTGGTAAAAATGCAGAGCCGATGCATTTACAGGCACTTGTCGTGTAAACCACGAGTAGATATACGCCATCTTAGGCACAGTCTCGCTCGGAACCGCGTAGTCGAGTGGATCCACCTCCTCTCCTTTCTTGGTCGGGAGTGGCTTGATATAGAGTGCGGAGCCATGGAATGGAGGAGCGATGCTGTGCCAGGATGCATGTCCGTTCATAAAGTGATGCTTGATGGCGTTCTCAAAGATGAAGTGTGTTAACACTCGCACAAGATCGTCGTAGCCTGTGAATGCGGACGGGAATCCATGGATGTGCTCAAGTTGGGAGCTCCGCTCAGCCCACGTATGAAGCTCTGTGTCGTCTCGAATAGCTTCCTCGGTTGTGTAGTACGCCTTCATGTATTTCCACACAAACCGCTTGATAATATTGTAGTACTTTGTTCCGTACCGATTTAAGCGATAGTCGACTAATGACTCACGTGCCGCCAAGTCTGTTGGTAGATCGAGTTCTACTGACGTGGTCTTAAACTCCCGCATCACCGCTCGTAGAGACCCCGTTGCGCCATAGCCCGTGACTTGATCGTATGGTGTACCCGGACTCAACAACTCTCGTCTAGCAAAGTATTCCATCCCGAAATCCGCGAACAAGTGATAATCCATTAAGGCGTACACCGGATGTTCAGTCGAGAGGCTACGCATCATCTCGACTTGAACCGGGACAGAGATTAAATGGGTCTCGACAAAGTGCCGCATCTGCTGGAAGTTGACCTCCGTGGCATGCAGCGCCATCTTGGCCAATTGCCATTCACCTGGAGAATCCGCTTTCGTGTACGTAAGCTCCGAATCCACGAGTGTAATTGCCAATGGCAATAGCTGTCGTTTGTCGACATTGTTGCAGAAACATCCGATGACATTAGGGATGTACTTGAACTCCTTAGCAGCTTTATAGGTGAGATCACCGTGGTCGGAGAAGTCAGTGACGAATACCTTGTGGGTTCTCAACGCACCTGACAACGTCAGTTCGCCAAAAACGTCAAGAATCAAGTCTGATGGGACCTCCCACAAATTATCCGCGTACTGAACCAGCCGTAAATTGTTACCTAGGATACTAAGCCGCATAGCACCAAAGTTCTCGTCGCTCGAGTCTAACGCCAAAGGCTTCTCGATCATTTCGGTGGCGGCTAAATCTTCGTACGCTTGGTGGAAATCATCGACGGACGTAAACGGAAGTCGATCTTGCAGGAATGTCTCGATCTTGGACGCATTGAAATTGGTCGTCGCTGTGAGCGCTGTGGCTTGCAGTACGAGATGCTCGAAGTAAAGCATCGAAGACGTAGACACCTCTGGTCCATAATTTTGCTGGAATGTCTGGTCTCCAACGGAGTAGGTCCGCTCGACGTTGTGGATCAACTTGGACCTGGCTTCAATGATCGAGGCTCGGTGGCCATCATGTGGATCTGGAATGCTCAAGTCGCTTGTGACGCTTTGCAGCGTACTCAGGACCACCGCAAGCTTCAGCAGAATAGCAATCATTTCTACTCTTGGGTACTGACAACTTAAAGAGCTTCCTGGCTGGTTCACTGCAAAATGGAGAATGATACTTGCCGAGATAGCGCCATGAGTCCGAAAGGATCCGTAAAACCGGTCATTGCGTGGTCTTCACGCTGATCCGGTTAATTATCTAGGTCCAATTGAGATACAAAATACCTTGCATCAAGCCGCGTACTTACAGCAGAAGAGACATTTGTGCCGCGTGGATGTTGGTCACATGACCATAACTCCTTGGACGAAGGACCTTGGTCCACCTAACAAAGAATCCAACGTGGTACATACTTGGCCACCGTACCTTGCTACCGCCAGACATGAGACCACTACTTTAAAGTACTTTGTAGTAAACAATAATATCCGATGTTCAAAACAGAAATTCCTGGTTTGGAGTGTCGAGACCTCGGTGAGTAACAAGCGATAGACTTATTCCCTAGATAAAATTGTCCACTGTCCCAATTCAGTCTAGTTCTCTCTCTCTCTCCTATCGTTGCTTATTCCTCGCGGGCGCTCGTGATGTAGTTGAGCAGGTCAATCCGCGTGGCGAGGCCAGCAATCTTGCCGTCCGTGGAGGTCACAACAGCGAAGTAATCCTTGTCAAAGATGGCGGCGAGTTCGGCCAACGAGCTCTCGTGGGTCACGCGACTGAAGTTGCCGAACGTCACGGTCGCCACGGGATCCGTGCGCATGACGCGACCAGAGGAAAGTCTGGACAGCAAGTTGCCGATCGTCACGACGCCCTGCACGGTGCCGTCCTCCTTGACGACAGGCAGCTGGTCGTAGCCGTGACGCTCCATCGTCTCAATAGCCGCTGCACACGACAGCTGAGGCGACACAGTGGACGGGTGCGGCAGCTCCAGCACCGACACACGCTGCTGCGACCACCACGTGGCCGTCTCCTTGCGGTATTTCGAGTAGTTCTCGCGCGTGTGGACCGTGTTTTCCACGTATTTGTTCTCGTACATCCACGCGTCGTTCAAGAACTTGGACATGTAGTTGCGCGTCGAGTCCGGCAGCACAACGACGCAGCGTTGACCAGGCTTCAACACGGAGGCAGCACGGACCGCAGCAGCCATGGCCGAGCCGCTCGAGCCGCCACAGAGCAGTCCTTCCTCACGAATGAGACGACGGGACATGATGAACGATTCCTGGTCGTTCGTCTTCTCCCATTGGTCCACTAGACTGCGGTCCAGTACGTCCGGGATGAAGTCGTAGCCGATACCTTCGACCTTGTACGACTGCAGTCGGTTCTTGTCGTTCAGCGAGTCTGGCAACGCGAGGATCGAACCTTCTGGGTCCACACCGACGACGATCACACTGGGACATTTCTCCTTGAGTTTCTTGGCGATACCCGAGATGGTGCCACCGGTACCGACGCCCATCACGACCATGTCAACTTTCCCGTCACATTGCTCCAAGATCTCTTCGGCTGTGCCGTCATAGTGAGCCAATGGGTTGGACGGATTGGCGTATTGGTCCAAGATATGCGCATTCGGGAGCTCAGCCTGTAGACGCCTGGCGATGCCAATGTGGCTCTCGGGCGAGTCCCACGCTGCCTCTGTCGGCGTGCGGATAATCTCGGCTCCTAGCGCCTTGAGGACGTTCACCTTCTCCAGACTCATCTTCTCTGGATGAACAACGCTCTGCGAATTAGTATAGAGTACTCAAGTAATCGAAAGTGAGGCTGACGCACCCGGTAGCGTGATAATGCAGCGGTAGCCCTTGATGGCGGACGCGAGCGCCAAGCCGATGCCTTTAATACATTGCAGATGGAGTCAGTGTCTATGAATCTACGAGATAGCGCTTTAGTGAGGGTCATACCAGTGTTGCCGGAAGTGGGCTCGATGAGCGTGTCGCCGGGCTTGATGCGACCCGCGGCCTCGGCGTCCTCAACCATGCGCTTGCCGATGCGGTCCTTGACGGAACCTCCGGCGTTGAAGAATTCGCACTTGGCTAGCAGCTCACATTGCAAATGGGCTTTCTTGCCGATGCTGTTAATGCATACCATGGGCGTCTGGCCGATCGCCGCCTGGAGTAACATAAGATAGGTGGTCGGGGGGTAGCCATGACAGGAGCGTTTAGCCACTGGTATGTAGAATTTGGACGTCCACTTTGCAGATACACGAAGGGAGAGAGACCATGCTACTTACCATGATATCCGGCAGGACCTCCAATGCCGCGGGCGGCAGGGACGACTCGAGCGAAGCGGGGGAGGACATGCTGATGTGGTGCCTCAACTGTTAAAAGCTGGCAAATACCACCTATCCACCCACATTGTTTTTAGAGAAAATAAACCGAACCGGATGTGGGTTTAATTGGATGTAGCCATCCCATGTGCCGTGCAGTCAGTATACCTTCTGGGCCAGTTCACCTTTTGTGGGTGCGGTCTGGCGAAGCCTGCGCAATACATGTAATAGCGCACGCGTCGATAGTTACATGTATTCATTTACGTATTGTGTCTTCCAGGCGACGCACAGCACTGTAAGCTGTTTTCAAAATGATACATGTACCATCACAGCGACAGATCAACAATCGAGACCTTTAGCTGCAGCATGTAAATACAGTAGCTGGTTTGCGGGCTTCATAACAGCATCCCAAAATTTGCATTTTTTAGCTGTACCGACACAGTACCGGTAAATGCATTGGGCACTCTGATTAGAGTTCTTGTGGCAGTGCGAGCCACTCCAGGAACGTGCCAGGTTTAGGGATCCGATTTGACAGGCACAAGTGCGTGGTGCCCAGCACTTTGCGCAGTCGGTTGAGCCTTGAATTTTTGATTATGTTGTGAACATCGTTTTGGTGTCTGAGCGAAGACGCCTTTCCTTTACCTTCTATAACAAATATATCGCGCAGTTCGATTGCAATCCATTGTGATGTGGCAGAGTGATGGTCACTGCAATCTCTGGCAGGACACGCGCTTGCGTCGGATGCATTCCGCATTTGGCTCCAACCCGACCAAGCAGCTTCACCCCACATACTCGTCCACCATGGTCATCGTACGTCTACGCCTATTGTCCACAGTATTACACTGCTGCAGATCGCTAACATCATCTATGTCTCTTCCTACAGGCCAACAACGCCACCCTCGAGGAGCAGGACCCGGAGATTTTCAACCTCATTGAGGCCGAGAAGAACCGTCAGTGGAAGTGCCTGGAGCTCATCGCTTCGGAGAACTTCACTTCTCGTGCCGTCATGGACTGCCTGGGCTCGTGCCTCACCAACAAGTACGCAGAGGGTCTGCCGAACGCGCGTTACTACGGCGGTAATGAGGTCATCGACAAGATCGAGATCCTGTGCCAGCAGCGCGCTTTGACTGCCTACGGTCTGGACGCCGAGAAGTGGGGCGTCAACGTGCAGCCGTACTCTGGCTCGCCCGCCAACTTCGCCGTGTACACGGCTCTGCTGCGCCCGCACGACCGCATCATGGGTCTGGACCTTCCCAGTGGAGGCCACTTGACTCACGGTTTCTACACGTACTCTAAGGCTGAGAAGACGCGTAAGGCCGTGTCGGCTACGTCGGTGTACTTCGAGTCGCTGCCCTACCGAGTGAGCGCTGATACCGGTCTGATCGACTTCGAGAAGCTCGCTGAGCAGGCTGCCCTCTTCAAGCCCGCTATGATTGTGTGCGGTGGCAGCGCTTACCCTCGTGACTGGGACTATGCCGCCTTCCGCAAGATTGCCGACGACAACGGCGCTTTGCTTATGTGCGACATGGCTCACTACAGCGGTCTGGTCGCCACTCAGGAGCACGCTAGCCCCTTCGACTACTGCGACATCGTGACCACGACGACGCACAAGTCGCTGCGTGGCCCCCGTGCTGGTATGATCTTTTTCCGTCGTGACGAGCGCGGCTTCGAGCCTCGAATCAACAACGCTGTGTTCCCCGCCCTTCAGGGTGGCCCGCACGAGCACCAGATTGCCGGCATTGCCGCTCAGCTTAAGGAGGTACAGACGCCCGAGTTCAAGACCTACGTGCAGCAGCTCAAGGCTAACGCTAAGGTCCTATCCAAGACCCTGACCGACCTGGGTTACTCGATGTGCACAGGCGGCACTGACAACCACCTGATTCTGTGGGACCTGCGTCCTCAGAGCGTCACGGGCTCCAAGCTCGAGAAGCTGTGCGACATGGTCTGCATCACGCTGAACAAGAATGCCGTGCTGGGTGACCGCAGCGCCCTGACCCCGGGTGGTGTGCGTGTCGGCACGCCTGCTCTGACGAGCCGTGGCTTCAAGGAGGCCGAATTCGTCAAGGTCGCCGAGTTCCTCGACCGCGCTGTCAAGCTGTGCGTAGAGATTCAGAGCACGAGCGGCAAGAAGCTAGTTGACTTCGTCAAGGGCGTTGAGGCCCACGAGGGCGTCAAGCAGCTCCGTCGTGATGTCAACGCTCTTGCCACGTCTTTCGAGATGCCTGGCTTCAAGATTTCTGAGATGCGCAACAAGACTATCGAGGAATAAGCGCTCATCAGCTTTTGCCGCATGAGTTAGATTGACTTTCCACTGGAGGCTTCCTATAGATTGTGTGCAGTGCACTTGGGGAGCTGCTTTCCTTTGAGAGCACCTTCCACCACTGACATAGTAAATGCATGTCATGTGATCCAAATCTAAACAACACACACACAGCACCCCACTCAATATATTCCGCCGCAGTCGATGGCCTCATTCAATTTCTACTCTGTCTCCATTGTACTGCATGTAATGGTTCTGCGGGTAGACGAGTAGGACGTTCGTAGCCCCATGACTTCTTCGCGAAGAACCAGTGCGGCGTCGCTCTTGGATCCCTCGGCAACACACTGCGCACAGAAGATGAGCTTCTTGTCGTTCACCTTGCTCCGGTTATGGGAAGACACCACACATACTTGTTTCTTGACGCAGCAGCGCTTACAGACCCACTCGGCGCAGCAGGCACAGGCTCTCGGTGCGGTCCGCAAGAACCCGCCAAACCCGCGCCTGCAGACTTGACAGCGCGTTGCGGATTGGATACGAGGACGCGTATTTTGACCAATCATTGCGATCCCACCAGATGATGTGGAGCTGGAACTTTGACTGCTGCTGGCAAACGAATCGCGCCCTGTCCGCATCCGCATCCACCACACGAGCTTCTTCATCTGCGCGCACTCGACGTAGCGAGCCATCGACAGCCATTGGGTCGAAATTGTGTGCAGCGAAATGTTGTTCAGCATCTCATTGCTCGAGTAGAAGTCGAAGTAGCCGCGTCTATAGCATTCGACGAGCGTTGTACTTTTCTGGCGGAAGAACGAACACACCGACATGTTGGCTCGCTCCACGCCGTGGTTCCGGAAGATTGGAAGTTGGGCGAAGCCAAGCGAGTGGATGAGGTGGAAACCCACTAGCTCACCGTAATCGTTAGGCACCATCCCCGTTGCTTCGATACAGGTGTAGTCTCTAGGTTCTGAAAGAGAATAGTATCGCCACGTAACGTTGAGTGTGTGGAACGGATCATCCGACGAAGGACTCTCCACACAGCAGAGCACCTTGCTGTTCACGATACCATCTTGCACGAACTTGGAACGGGCTCGCATGGCGTCCGTACTTGTTGCAATGGACGCGTACATGACGTCGTTTAGATTGCCAGCTATCGTTCCTAACATGAGTAATGATGGCATTTCGAACTCTTCCGGATGAGAAAATCCAGCTCGCATACACGTCGCGCTGTTTCCGCTTGGCAAGGAGTTTTGCGACTGGAACTCCTTAAACACCCTTATTCCATCCTTGCGCCGCACTTCTCGCCACGTACGCGAATCAGGGAAATTATCTCTTGTCAACCGCAGCTCTTTCTGCTGCGTCAGGTTTGTTTCCAACATTCTGACAGACAACTCCAGAATCGCTTTCATGTCCTGAGCCGACAACTGAAGGTGGGGCATCGCCTGCGCCATCAGGTCGTCCTTGGACATGGCGGAGAGCGCGGCTGGATCCGGAATGGTTGCTCGTTAAGTGTCTTCGAGTCAGGTCACGGGCTCTACACGTTGAGGAAATCACAATGATACAAGTCATGTTACGGATTGATTCAAGAGGTTACCCATAACCGGCGACAACAGACAGATTCCGAGAAGAAAGTGTGTGTCATCATTTACTCCCGCTTGAGTCTAAGCATCCTACTTCGCCTGTGTTGCTCACCTCTCTGCACAATGTAATCAGCACTCGCCGCTAATATTGCCGTTTAAGAACTTCCGGCGAAGAACTCTCGTAGCGAAGGCAAGTCAGCAAATGCAGCTGATGCAGAGGCGCGAGCGAGGCTCTGGGAATCGTGTAGCCCGCGTAAGTACAGCGTTGCGACTCACCGATACTTTGGGATCCGCTCACCACAGTGGCTCATTAGTTTTATTCGCGGTAGTCTTGCGTGATGGAACTCTGGCCACAAGCGGCAACGCTCATCAGGACCCGTGCCCCGCGCCTCATAGCGCAATGCACGCCCGAGGATCCAGCTGCAAAAGTATCCTGTGTTCTGACTTCAGTCGGGTAGAAATGTGAGGTTATCAGTTCAGACGGTAGTTGAAGTGCTTAAAGAAAGTTAGACTAGAACAACCTTGTGCAATAGTGTCAACTAGCAAAACACATCCGTTCATGTTCCGTCTCGGAGCTACTTCGTAGTACGAAGTTCGTACTAATCGATATGTGTGTTTTCCTTTCCTGCCAGGAGTCACTGACTTCAGTTATTGGCCATTGGTTCACCCTTAGGTGCTTCGGTCTTTGTTACTACATGCACACGCTTAGGCTGGAGCCACGTAGCGTAGTACTCCTCACCGTCAAATTTGGAAACAGAAGGACAGTCGTCATGAAGAGGGAATTTGGCAAATATCATTTTAAAAACTTACAGTGACATTGACCATACAAAACACCAATTTGTTACAGGAGCACGCTTTTAGATCTGCTCGGTTGCTAACAAATTGCCATGTTTCCGATATTGTAGCGTTAATGTAGCTTAAACATTGACATTTTGAAGACAGTACATTCATTACCAGCTCGGCAGACCTTGTGTGGCGGCGATGAAGTCATCTCGTGCCACGGCACCAGCTTCACTGCGCATGGCGTCGGCTACGCACTGCTTGCAGAAATTTTTCTTGCGTTCTCGAACACATCGCCGAGTACGGGAAAAAAGGCACAAAGTCTGTTTAACACTACAGCGCGAACACACGTCTTCGTCACAGGCCTGACAAACGCGTCGAGAGGCTCCCAGGAAGTGGAAGCTTTTGCAGCACAGCTTGCACCTCGAAGCCAGTACCCTTGCCGGCTCAGGCGGTGCAGGTAGCAACACGACTGAGCTGCTCGAACTTGATGTTGAACTCGACAATTGCGACTGCAATGGATTGGAGCTGCTGCTGTAGCTTCCGAATCCACCGTCACCACTGTCGCTTTCACTGCCGTCGGAAGTAACGAACCCTTTACCACAATTAAGGAGCCGTGTCAGCTTTAGGCTTTGAGCGTACGATACGAGTTTAACGCACGAAAGCCACTGCGACGCGAGCGTGTGCATCGAGATGGAGTTCAGCATAGCATTCGTGGTATCGAGGTCGTAGTAGCCGCGTGCGTAGCACTCTACCTGAGTAGCTGTTCGTTGACGGAAGATCCAACATACCGACATATTGGCACGAGCAATTCCTTTGTGCTCGTGGCTCGGTAGTGCATCGAAACCTACGGAGTGGATGAGGTGGTACGCAACCCGTTCACCACGTGCAGTGTTGCCCCATCCAGCGACATCAAGACACACGTAATCTCGGGGTTCAGAGAGCGCATAATAGCGCCAAGTCACATTGAGGAAGTGCATCGGATCCGCCATCGTCGGTTCAATAATGCGGGCCAGCACCTTCGCGTCGACAATACCGTCATCGGTATACTTGGACTTGGTTAGAATGGCCTCGGTTGAAGACGCCGCTGTGGCGTATAACACGTCGTCCAGGTTACCTTTGACTGTTCCCATGAGCAGTAGCGACGGCGGTACTTTGGCGGTTTTTGCAGCACTATTCCCAGTAGCTGCTTGGGCTCTAATCTGCTGCTGCTGTTGGCGAGTACTCTGCTTGTAGACTCGAACTCCTTCGCGTTTTTGGATCGAAATCCACGATCGAGAATCTGGATGGCCGTCGGGGGTCACTGCTAGTTCACTGTACTGATCCAGGTTCTGCTGGAGAAGCGTAGCCGCCAGTTCCCGCATCAGCTTCTCGTCGTATCGCTCGAGCTCCAACGCCGGCATGGCAATGCCATTCTTGGAGTGAGGCATGTCTTCCGTGTTCGTAATTTTGATTCGTGAATCTAAAAGCTCGATAATGACACCCAATGTCTGCACGGCTCTCAGTTTTCTTTTACGTGCGACTCGTCACTTCTCGATTTCCACGCAGTAGCAGACGCTTTTGCAAATGAAAGTGTTGGCCCGTCCAAACTCAAGTTTTGAAGGACGCAAAAAGGCGGGACGACTTGAAGGCAGATCGATTTTCGAAAACTGGAACGAAAGCGACAAGTCGATCTATGTTGTCGGCAAAAGGTTGCTAAGGTGCTGGATCACATCCATGTGGCGACTGTATGACTGTCTTTTAAGTCAAGTGGGTAGTGTCGACGAGGCCACCTTGAGTCGCCATCCATATGCCCGATCCAAAACTGACCAGCGACTACCTGAACGTTAACGCGTGCGAGTGCGCTGCAATTTCAGTTTCGTAGATCGACAGCCGGAAGAGGAGAAGTAACCACACACTCTCGAGGGAAGTGAACACAGATATTAAGAGCTTTCAGCGGTTATGCTCATTTTGAAGGCGGGTTGTTACTATTATAAAATAGCTTGGGTCAAGCGAAACACTGGCGGCATCTTGGTATGGATGAATATACACGTCTTTCCGACAGACACAAAGGCAAGATTGTGAATATGGGATTAATATCCAATCATATACTACAATGTACCTTAATTCAGCCAATTAGGTCGCACAGGAGCAGGCTCTTCATTCCGACACTTTCTGACAAATATTTGTCGGAAGCTAGAGCTAACTATTTTGAAACCAATACTGAATTTAAGTCGTGTAAGATATATGTCAATATTTTTGTGGTTCCGACAATGCGGTATACCTCCTACTTTAGGTTAAAATTGAGCAGTAGTGTTAAGGTACACTCAACCAGCCAAGTCCAGTTAACAAAAAGCAGAAAAGACAAGCAGCAACCAGCATGAGCCTCTCCGCACTTATCCCTACAAACACGCAAAAAGCGCGTACTACCGGAATAGGCGCGTTCGAGCGTATGCTTAAAGTCGAGGATGTATCCATGGACGTTGTCCGAGCATGCATTTTCAGTGACAGCTCTGGAAAGAGCTTAGCGGCCGTGATGGATCGTTTTGGCTACTATCTCGCCACATGCGAAGGTAAGAAAGGTAAGTTGGCGCCCAACACCGCCATTTCTTACTTTAGAAACGTGAAGCTTTGGTTTTTCGATGAGTATCCTCATCTTAGAGTACCAACCGAGCTAATTTTGCTTAAACAAGGGAAGACTCTCGAAAAACACTGCTTAAAACGTGATAATGGAGGATTTACTAACAAGGCACCACCTTGTACAAAGGCGGATTTGCGCTCACTAATATGCTATGTGTACAAAACAGCATCCGTCGCCTCGGATTACGAAGATGCAGCGCTTGCGTGCCTTATGTGGCATTGCTTCGGCCGTTCATCAGAGCTCGGCTACGTCACAAAGCAGCACATTACAATGTCAGCTGACAACGTTTTCTACATTCGGATGCTACGAATGAAAACAGCTGAGGAGCAAGGCCTCACGCTCGTACCTGATCGGGCGGATTTTGTGACCTGCCCGCTGCACACGCTCGCAGTAGCCTTGGTGATGCAGGAGTCGCCTTGTGTGTCCCTGCTAAGCCAGCTTCCTTCTCTTGTGACACCGTCTACACCCTCACTTGATGCAGCAGCACCCCTTCTCGATGTACTACGAGTACCTTCGGTCAATGCTGCCACCTCTTCGCAGCTTCCTGCAGCAGGGATGACTGACCCGGTGGCTGCCACTCTGCGAAGCGTCCCGAGCTCCGCTGCAGCCAACCCTTCAGCGACCAACCAAGCTCGCGGTGACGACGGGGTTCAAGCGTATGTGAACCGGTTCCTGAAGCGGGTGTCGGAGCCGGCAGGAGCCTCAGCCAACTTGACCTCGCACTCCTTCAGGCGGGGCGGGGCGCAGCATGCAAACGGGGACGAGCGGCTGGCTGCACAGTGGATCTTTGATCGTGGGTCATGGGACATGACGCGCACCAACAAAGGATTCGCCTACGTATTCAGTTCGCCGCGTAGGTACCGGTAAGGTAGGTTGCAAATACCTTGTCCCCCGAGGCTGCTGCGCCCGGGCCGCTTTCCGGCGTTCCCCACTCCCACGGTTTGCCTGCGCCGCCTGTCGTGAACCCGACAAAGCCGTCTTCAAAATCCTGCACATAACCCGCTTTAACCCCGCTGCTGATTTCCACCGAATAAACTTCGGAATCATAGCCGTTGTTGCCGTAATCATTTACGCGGATATAATATTCCACTCCTGCCGGTTTGATCAGAAAAGAAGGAATGGAAGCGGCGTAAATGCCATCCTTGTAGTCCCCGGAAACGCGTTTTCCGGGAATATACACGTAATTGGCTGTTCCTTTCGTTCTAGCATATACGTCGACATTCAGAATGCTTACATCATCAGTCGCATGAATCGTAAGCGGGATATCGACGCCCGCGAATCCGGCCGTTACCGGCGTATGTTCGATCACCGGCTCTCCCGTATCTTCGCCTCCCGTGCTGACCTTCCCGGATACGGAGCCGATGCCCTCCAATACGGAGCCGACAGCATCAAGCGCATTCACTATGCCGTGTCCGTAACCGTTGT